TGCCCATAGGGTCTCGGTAGGTGACCTTGAACGTCCTGTTGGTCAACATGCGTAGTTGACGGCCGTACGTGGCATGTTTCGTCGCTTGTGCTCTCCTTTCCCTGTGGCTTGTCGTTTGCACAGCGCTTTGCTCCCTGGGTGGGAAAATTGTTTGACTTTGTTCCGTCCAGGCCGCCTTGAGCCTGTCAACTCGAGCTGTACTCTCCCCCTCAAGTTCTGGAGTTCGATTGTCAATGGCAGCAACGTCAATCAAGTACTCGGCAGGGTTTACAAAAGGGGGCAGTCGAAACCCTTGCCCCTCGAACCAAGTGGTGCAATCCTTAGCCGGCCCCGAATATACAGGGCTGCCACGGGTCAGGATGATAAGGTTGTCAAACAGATCCCAAATCTCTGAGCGGGGTTGATGAATGGTCGTAACGATGGTCCTTCCTTTGGTCGCCAAGCTCTTGAGAGTCCTGACGAGCTGGAATGCACTGGTGGCATCCAAGCCTGTCGTGGGCTCGTCCAAGAACAAGACTGAAGGATTGGCTAGAAGCTGAACGCCAATGCTGACTCTCCGTTTCTCTCCACCAGAACAGCCACGATGCTGGTGATTGCCAATCCTAGTGTCCGCACATTCTTTCAGGCCGAGTTCTAAGATGACCTCCTCAACGATGCGCGTGCGCTCCTCAGCTGTGGTTGGTGGCGGCAGGCGCAAGTCGGCAGAGTACTGCAGGGTTTCTCGAACGGTTAGAGTCGGGAGCAGGATATCCTGTTGCATCACGTAGGCGTGGCGCACGGTCTGCACTGTATCGTTGCCGTTGAAGCGGATAGATCCAGCCTGCGACAAGCGCGAGCTGATCATGCGTTCTGACATGGTGTTGAGTAGCGTTGTCTTGCCGGATCCGCTTCCGCCAATGATGGCAGTAAGCGTGCCATGGGCCAACGAGGCGTCGACATGGTGCAGCAATGTCTTGGACGCGGGCGTAGGTTTGAATCTCTGCTTTGCCAGGTCGGGACATGTCGAAGGCTCGAACCACGACGGCGATGTATCGACGGTGACAGCAAGGCTTCGAATCTCGACGTCGACAGCCTCAACGTCGTCTAGCGAAATGTGCCCGGCGCGAGACAAGGAGAACCGGCTTGGCTCGAGGTAACCGTGATCGCGGTCGCGGTTCAGGTCGCCGTGAGCGCTGGGGTCCATAGTGGTCGCAATCGAGCTGGCGCGCTCGACTTTGTCCATGTCAAATATGTCGGACGTCGGGCGCTCGGTGGCCTTAGCATCAGGCCCTTGTCCCTGAGCTTCCTCGGGAGCAGCCATGATGCCGAAGAGGTAGCGCGACGATTCAGCAGGAAAAGTGGAGGCCAAGTCTCTTCTATGTGCGGAGAGCAACGACTGCGACGCGAGGTTTCGAAAGAGAAGTGTTCAAAAAGAACTTGGCCAGCATCGAAAGCAGTCTCGCGAGGAGGTGGCTGTTTGATGCTCGCTTAACAAGAACAAGCACCTTTCTGTCACCGGCCTGGCGTTGCCAGATGGGGATGGAGTGAAGATGAGACATCCATAACGGGCAACGGAAAAGTAGATGACCATGGCCAACTGACGGAGTCAATGGCCCAAAAAGTGAGGGGCCGTTGGATTGTGCAAGATTGGCCACTGTGTCGGCTCAATGGCCCGGGTCGGCGTCAGGCTAGGACAACAGAGGGTGGCGGGGGGCATGGGTGCAGCTCGCTTGGATGTTCTGTCGACAAGAGTGGTGGGAGTTTGCAGGCCTTGGCCAGGATGGTGTGTCGGTCATGTCATGGTGGTGATTTCATGGTCGGGGCCACCAGACGCTCTCGGCTATCCGTGCACCACCCCACCAGACCCCAGTCGCCACCCCCACAGCCACTTGCTGCTACCTGAGCCGTCTGTCAACCCATTTGCGCTGCACGTGGAGTCTCGGTTGCAGGTCGCCATCTCGGTAAGTAGACCCTGAGGCAAGGACCCCAGTATAGCGATAGAGTTTTCATATCACACCCAGGAATACAGCTCTCCCCTGACGACAATGCTTTGTCGCTTTGTCGTAGTGCAGTGCAGTCTAGTGCAGAGTGCCATCGAGAAAGCTCAAACAATGAAAACATGCAACATGTGTGTAAGGAGCCAATACCCGCAACGAGAATGCCTTCACGACGCCTGAATTTATCCAAAGGCTTCTCTGAAGCTTTCTGAGGAAGCAATCTCTCTTGCCTTAGGTACCTACCTACCTAGAGGAGTAGCACCATCTCCTGGAGAGGAGGCCCCACGGAGACTCTGAAGGTGTCGTGATGGGTCTAGAAGTAATGAAGAGTGCAGCAAGGGGCGGCCTCCTCTGAATGAAGCGGGCCTACACCAACCTTCATTAAAACAAGACCTGCGCTCTGAGAACCCCACGGGCCACCATGATCCCCAGGCACCCCTTGATTCGAGCTCCACGAGAACTCGTGGCGGAGCTCACGATCAAGCTCCCCGCCCGAGACGCGGCGCGACGTAGACGTGTTCGCGTATCCTGGGCAGTCCGCCGCATCGCCCGGAACGTAGGCATCTTTAAAGGGCTTCTCTCACCCATCAGCCGGCCCCATCTTCGTGTCCTGGACTTTGACGCTTGTTTGTGAAGCAAATCTTGTACGTTGGAATGATTTTGCAGCGAAATTTTGGTTACTTCTCAGACGTCTCTTCCGGATCCCACTATCAGTCCATCTGTACAACTCGACGGCCCAAGAGTTCTACCCTCTTGGCAACAGCATGGCGCAGTCCGATCGATACAGAGGGGATGCCCATGAGGAACGCTTACTGGAACTCCAGCGCCTCCAACTGCAGCGATATTGGCCTGCAGAGTTCCATGTTATCGAGCGGAACTGCTTGACCATGGTTCTCGGGGTCATTCGGATCCATCACATCTTGACAGCTGCTGGTTTCCAATACTGGGACGCGTGGAATCTGACACACCCGGTACTGAAGCCCATCGCAGAGATCTTCCGGTCACCACTCAAACGCAAGCTAGCAATTCTCGACGAGAATCGCCGAAGAATTCTTACGAACATGGTGCTCACCCAACAAAAGGTTGAGAAAGCTATCCATGCCGTCATTGAGCTGCATTTCCAACTCCTGCGCCTGGGCAGGACCAGGCATATTACGACGTGTCCAGATATGCGTCACAACATGCTCCAGAGGTTACTCGAGCGATATAGGAATCGCGCAGATTTGCAGCTTGAACCTTTCCGGGTCGAAAAGGGTAGCCGTGGTGCCCTTCGGGTCGTCATGGTGGCTAGTGGCTCTGCGCATACCACCGAAGGGCGTGGCCGCGAAAGTTCAGTGCATTCACCGACAGCTGAAGAGGGTAGTCGCGAAAACCCAATTTGCTTAATGGAGCACGACTCAGCTGTCTTGCGTCAGGAGCACGAGACGATGAGCGAGTCTGTGAACGCTTCTAATCCAGCATCAAGATGCAGCGTGTTCACAGATGCTGGGTTCGTGGACCGCGATATTACGGACGCAGACCTCCTTAGGCTGTATCAGTTTGACACGGTGCAAAGATTTGTAGTGATACCGGAGCCCGAAGACTCGAACTTCGTGGCTGATTCTCGGAGAGAAATCCGGTCTACAAGCGGCCCGCCAACGTCAACTTCTCGTAGGGGGACTGTCTCCTGTCCTGCTGCTTCGCAGACACAGGGTACCGTTAACTCCACACCAACGACATCACCGCAGAGAATACACTACGAAACTTGCGCCTCAGCCCTTACCACTACTTCTCAGAAAAGGTCGAGAATCACTGAAACCACAACAAGAGCGCCAGCTCCTCGATTCAAGAGTGTACCAAGGCAGACGGCCAGTCAACCCCTCGAACAAGCCACGCGCCAGCCATCCCTACCTCATCGCTCGAGTCGACGCACACCAGCACCAAACTGTGTTTTCCTATCGCCCGAAACGTCATCGTCGCCGTCACTGGAAGCACCTGCTCTTCCCACGGCTATCCCAGCACCAGAAGTCATCTTACCTTTGGAACACACTCAACTCCGTCGGTCATCGAGACGCTCCACACAGGGTAACACGATTTTGATCTCGCCTCCGGCATCATCCACCTCTACTCGCATCCATAAGACACCTCGAAAGCCGGCTTCCGATGCTCGCAGACACCTTCCAAACTTTACAGAGAGTACACCTCGTCGTACTTCAAGAGTTTTGCATCGCCACACCACGCCGACTGGTCCACTTTCGTCATCCGCCGCGGCGATAGTGCCAACAGTGGCGCGAATCTCTCCGGCGCCCTCAAGCCCAGCGGAACAACGTGAGCAAAGGCTTCATGGCGGGATGTCTGTTAAGGACTGTACAATACCCTTTCTTTTCCAAAGTGATATAGATAACGTTCTGCCATATTGGGGGCTTCATCGAGAGATCGCAGCACTCAAGTACCTTGTAAGGCAGGGTGAGGCGGAGAGTTCGGGAGCGACTGGTCTGAGATGATATCACCGCTAGGTAGACTGGTTGGCAAACCTTACTTGGCCTCATTTCTCGAGTTTTGAGGTAGCTTCTGACGGGGGACTTACATGGACTGAAAAAATAGACTTATATTCTGCCTTCATTGAGGAGCCCTGCTGAACGTTTCTTAAAGTGCTGCAATCTCTCGCACACCCATTTCCGTTCCAGACCTGATGCGGTGAAGGGTCGAGACCACGACCTTCCCTTGGAGCAGTGATGAAAACAATAAAGAAGTAATGTATATGTGTATATCCTAATCATGATGCGCCATATGGCCGTGATAAATCCTATTAACATCAACCGACGATGTATCGAGTTCTCTTTGAGAGAATCCTCTTTCAACCCTCGCGTGCCCGTCCGGGCCAGGTAGGGTTCGCCCGCGTCTAACAAACAAGAGCCACAGCGAGAGGCTCATTCCCATGGCTAACAAGTCTTAGATCATGTACTGATCAGCAAACAATCAGACATGCAATCTGAAGAAAACCATAAGAATAGAGAAATAAAATTGCTCCACACCTTGCCCCCTTTAGAAGTTCTCTTTGCCCCATTTGAACGAAAAGCTAAAGATTAAGTGTTAGTTCAGGGACACCATACGTAATTGGTAGATAAATCGAGCTTACCCTGGTTCGCTGTACTTGTTACAAAAGATATGCAGTGTACTGCCAAGGCCCTTGGGACCACAGAAAAACACCCCAGCCTCAGCAGGCGAGTGCAGCTTTCTGATTCCACGGAAGATCATGTCCCAGTTGGGCCGTCCAAAGTTCGTCGGCGACCTCAGACCGGTGATGGTGTCTTTGTCAGCGTTGGCATCATTGATCATGATGTTTGTTGCGTCGTCTGCCTTGATCTTGGCGGTCAGGTAGGTATGGATCTCGATGCGATTGTCAACGTCCTGCGCTTCAATGGCGAGCAACAGCGAGCGGAACCACTCAAAGGAGCCGAAATCTCTGCAGATCCAGAAGAAGTAAACTTTGCTGAGGCGCGTCTTCTTCTGAGGGTAGTTCATGCGATACCAGATGGACTTGAGAATGGATGCAAACGGCGTGACGCCGATTCCTGCGCCGCAGAGAACAGAGATCTCGTACTTGAAGACATCCTCCGAAGCCGATCCAAAGGGTCCGTCAATGTAAATGCGAGGCAGCACGCGGCGCAGAGCAGGATCGACATCGCTTCCATCGCCATTGACACCGACGACCTTGCTACCGTCCTTCTTCTTGTCGAACTCGCAGCCCAATACGGTAGAGACGGCGCGAGTGAAATCACCAACTACACGCATGTGGATAGAGATGTAGTCTTCCTCGGGCGCACTCGTTAGGGTAAAAGGGTGGTACTGCCAGATTGATACGGCGGGGCAGCAGAAGAAGATGTACTGGCCGGCCTGTGTCTTGGTGTTTTCTTTCTTAATCTGAATCTCGCAGACATTGCTGGGGTGCTGAATGACTTTGGAGATGTATGTCTTGTGCTTGCCACGCACCTCACGGGCGATGCGCTCAGCGAGGTAGCAGAAACCGCCGTACATCCAGTACTGCCAGAAGACGCCGATCGCGCTCGGGCCGATACTGATGCAGAAGGGCGCAAAATCAGGCTGGATCATGCAGAATGCGCCGTGAATGGACCAGAAAAAGAAGAAAACGATGAACATGTGATGGGTATACCAGAATCTCTCGTAGTTGGCGCGTCGGGGCTTCTCCATTGACGTGATAACCATGCCCATGAGGGCGATGAGCATAACGTAACCAGTCCAACCGGGACCTGATACGAAGTTGGCCAGCAGCCAGCCGTAGACACCAAGGTTGTTCTTGGCGGCGATCATGCCAAAGTTGACCCAGTGAGCAATCGTATGAACCCATGAGAAAAAGACAATGGACCAGGCAATCGTCTTGTGGAAGGTGATGTTCTTATCGAACTGGATGATGCCGTTGAGAGGCGTTTGGCGAGCGAGCGAGATGAATGTGCGACAGACAGGAAAGAGTACGAGGGCAACATCGACGTGCAGGACGAGAGCCGCGGCACGGGCGATGACAAAAGTTGGGCCGAATATGTCTCGTGCGACCTGCAGATTGTCCTTGAGGGCAAAGTTGACGCAGGCAAGCGCAAAGACGAGTCCGTGGAGGATCATGAAGACGAAGACAAAACTTGGGCAAGTGTTAGTTGATGGTTTTTGGATATCAAGGCTCCAGCACATCACATGGATCAAGTGCGCATTCAGACAGTACTCACAATCTTCGGTAACCCTCGTTGATCATCCAGCGATCGAATTTCTCCCTCGATGTCAGCTGCTTCTGCTTTTCTTGCGTCATCTCACCCGAGAGAAGCATGCGTGTCAGTGGCGTCCATCTTGAGCGCTCGGAGGGCTTCTCTGAGCCCATCGAGTAGTAGTCCATCGCGCTGGTGGTGCTATAATCGTCTGCGTGCTGACGAGTCGGGATATAGCTGGTATGACCGCACTTCAAGGACAATATCGCTCAGACCGGATGTCCCGTTGTGTGCAGTTCCCCCCGTTAGCTCTCGTTCCCCTGTCTCTTGCTTCAATTATCGTGAGGTTCTGCCCGTATGTGCCCGTTTGCGAGCCGGTCGGTGTCGTTGGTCAATTGGTGTTTAGACAAGCGAGAGTGCAGGCGGCGCCATATATCCAGGCGGGTGATGTAATAGTCGATTCAGAGCCGGCTGAATAGTCGTAAAAGAGATATACAATGAAGGTGAATGAATCGAATTGGACGTAGCCCGTGCTTGCGCCTTAGTTGCCGCCGCGAACGACGAGAGATCGGAGGGGGCTGTAAGAGAGGGCAAGCCGTAGGTCAGCAAGAGGAGATAAGAGGGCAAGAAGACACGGAAGGGCATGGACAATGAATACTGGTAAAGATGGCGAGGTAATAGGCTCGCAGAGGGCGTGTTTCGGATGGAGATCATACCTTTGCACAATGCCTGCACCAGGCGGCTGACAAAACAAGGGGATTTACGACCGAGGCTCGTGGGTATTAAAAGTCCCGCGGGAGGGGGGATTTCTCGTCGATTGCCTAAAAAGGAGAGCAAGAGAAAGAAAACGCAAAAGCGAGCAACAGAAGCGGTCGCGAAGATCCAGCGGGAGGGGGCAGGATGAAGAAGGAGGGAGATTATGGGTCCTTCATGTTACAGCGACGACAAGCGATTATGGTACGACCAGCAGACCATCGCGCGCCCAGAATCTGGCCCTGACAAGGTATTGTCCCGGCGTGGATACCTTGCACAGACGACACAGATGAAAACAGGTAAGGGTCAGGGGTGTGGTGGAGAGAGTGCGAGGGGCGAAGGCAGACTTCAAAGAAGAGGAACAGTTGCCGGAGAAGCCTTGAAAGAGCCAGACTGGACGGTGTTGCAGATCTGGTACCCAGCGAAGTGGTGGCTGGCTGCCTCGACGTCAGTTGCTTGTTCCCAGCACTCGCCCTCACAGTTGTGTGACGCCGCGACAACTGCAGCATTGGTGGATGGGGACAGCGATGGCGTCGAGGTCGAAACAAGATTAGTCCTAAAGAGGCCTGGTGTACCCGCGTGCATGCAGCTCGGGGGGCTTCCTCAGGGGCCTCAGCGCTGGAGCGTGCTGCGAAGCGGGGCTTTTTTCTCTCTGATTGCTCGTACCTCACAGAGTCAGCATTGGTGGCCAAGCAATCGCCATTGTGTTGCCCGGAACTCGCATGAGCAGGACCCCCCGACCGAGAGGTCAGGTGGCTGTTGGCCAAAGATAGTCAGCTTCTTGATGCACGCTGTCCGTCGCCCCTGTTGTGTACAAAGGCACACCTAAGTCCCTGGGCCACAATCGAATTCCCAATGTGTGTTCGGGGACTTTCTTAAAATCCGGTGTCAGTGATTGGCTCCTTTGCCGGCGTCTCGCCTCGTCCAACCAGTCCCAGCCTTTGAGGCTCGTGCGAGGATGTCCTGTCACGGCATGTTTCGGGCCCAGGGTCTCTGACACGACGCGAATCGACATCTGTCGCATCCCGTGGACCGCCCTGCCTCCGGTTGTCGACACCTCCATGATATCGTAAGCGGCTATCGAGGCTCATCCCATGTCACCACGGCGATCCTCGCAGGTTCTCACCCCCGATGAACGCCTCGATTGCGGCTCTTTTCGCTTCTGTAGACGGCAACACTGCCTGAGCCCTCTGGCAACGGAGCATTTACGCCCTAGTGATTGGCCACTGCCTCGGGACCTCTTGCCAGCCACAACCGTCTCGACTTGCAGTATCTTACAATCTCGCGTCACATCCTAGAGGCGATCACCCCTTGCGCTGTTGCCTTTTGATACAGGAGGACGCAAATATCAGGTCATATTTGAAGCCTGGTGCCGCCCCTTTTTCAATTCTCGGCTCATGGATCCTTCACCTCTGAACGAACATTCGTCAGCCAAGCCCTCCGCGACGACAGCCATGGTCAGCCTTCCGCCATCGACAACGCGCACACGCATGCCGAGATGAAGAACCGCATCTAGGAAGCATTGACGGCAACACCAGCACACGCGTAGAGTCGATCCGGATTCTGACACCCAAACTTCCGGCCCCACAACAGAGCCTCGTGCTGTACGAGACCATCCAGTCTCACGGTCCCCTCACCCAACTGCCCGATTACGTATGTCTTGCGAGGGAGTCGTTTCGTTCTTCTATCAGCTTCCGTGATGCTTTGTTCTGTTTCTTGTCGCCTTTTTGTCCGTCCATGTCTTCTGGCAATCCGGCCAACGGCACGAACGGCAATTGATGTAGACGCCCAGCAGACAGAACACGCACCGCGTCTTTGCACCCTTTGTCTCGGTTGCATGTTGCATGTTTTTTCCCTTGTGACCTGGAGATGAAACGATACGGAACGGGAGCTTCCATTTTTCCTGAACAACAGCACGGATTTGTGGAACGGGCCGTGCTGTAAATGACCATAGCGACGATATTGATGATGAACATAATTATGCAAGTAGTATAGAACACCCAGGACGCTCTCGTCAAGTTCACCCGATGTTTGTAGCGCCCAATGAACTTCACTGCATGTCAGTCACGACACAACCGGATCTTGTCACATACTCGTGGACTGGGAATGCAATGCCGTTGTCATAAGCCGAAGCAGCTATCTGGTGTGCCCAATGGACCTCTCTAACTCCAGCGTCTCTCGTTCGTAAACCTCGCTCTCTTCTCCGCAGTGCCCGATGCTCGACTTGCCTCTCTAAAGCTGGACGAGGTGCCTACGTTCACATAAGCACCGCAACTGTCCAGTCCGCAAGGCAGGGTGGCTGTCTTGCCCAGGACTCCAAAGTCGTCGATGAGAGGTAGCCTAAGTACCCGCCACATCGCCTTCTACAGCAATCCCCAATCTCGCGCCAAAGAACGTCTCCAAGCCGAAGCCTAGATGGCGTACTTTCGAGTCCACTCGCGGGCAGTGGCTTCGTACCGGGCACGGTCAGTCTTGTAGACGTGGGCGATTTCAGGGACGAGAGGGTCGTCGGGGTTGGGATCCGTCAGCATCGAACAGATGGACAGCAACACTGGACTTGTTAGAAATGCTGAGACATCGGAACGTAAGGCTACCCACCTTTGGAGATGGTGAGCGCAGGGCTCCACTGGTCTCGCAGGATGTCGAGGCAGATGCTGCCGTTGGAGTTGATGTTAGGGTGGTAGATGCGGGTGGTGAAGTTGACCTTAGGAGGCTTGAAGGGGTAGTCGGTAGGGAAGTGAATGGCGAGGAAGAAGACACCGCCAGAGTAAGGAGAGTCACCCTAGATTGCAACAGTCAATCATCGTCCAAGAAGCGTTCGCTGTCGAAGATGAGAAGGACGGGAGATGAACATACAGGTCCCATAATCGTCGCCTGCCAGTGGAACTAGAGCGCAGTATAGTCAGTACAGTTGCCTCATACTACAGCCAAGACGTAGAATAAAATTCGAGAGCCGAGTCAACGGGAGGATAGGTTCGGCAAGATCTTTTGAGGGTTCGGTGAGACGTCACATACCAAATCCTCGCCGACGGGACCGGCAGAGCATGAGGAGGGCGGGTCGCTGCAATAAGAAATCAATTAGCCATTTGTCTCCAAGTTTCTGCGACCTTGGCTTCGCAGGTTGAGGCAATGCACGAATATGCAGCCTCTCTCGTTTGACGAAAGACCCCGCTTCGGGCACGCCCCACCAGATGATGTCTTGGAGTGAGTGCGACAGTGGAAGTCGAAGAGTGCGAAAGGACTAGACGTACCGGCCGAGATCAGTGAGTTCCTTGTTAATGCGCTTGAGGGCCATGGTGATGGTGTTTGTGGTTGGGGGTATCTAAAGAAGAAGTTCTTTCTCGGTTGCGCGGCTGTGGTGGAGGCAGGTAGCAGGTCAGCGATCGGTAACACCAGCAGAAGTGGACGAATAGGTCAAGGCGATGTGCGGTGCAGTGGTGCGGGACAAAGGGCGGGTGCGGGGGTCGAAGGCCGTAAGCAGGGCACGTACAGGAGACGAGGGGTATTTATCGTCTTCTGCGTCGTCGCAAGAATGATATTTTGATCCAGTAACAGGATTACCAAAGCGTTGCTCGAAGGGGCGAGACGTGGGCGTGATGCAAGAAGAACGTGACTGTTGGAGGAGTGGAAGTGTTGGATGTGTGGTGGAGGGGGAAGAAGAGGGAAGGTGACGGATGGCAAGCAAGGCAGCCAGCCAGCCTCTCAGCGGGCAATGAGTGAGGGAGGGGCAACTGCACCCGCACCTGACTCTTGCCTGTCACCACTCCCAAGCCACTGCCCCAGCACTGAAGGAACCCAAATCGTCCTCTTGCCGTCAGGATTTTAGGCAGGGACCGGGATGGCCGGCCTGTCCCTAGAAATGAGGGGCACCGCCACATAAGATGGAAGATTTCGTCACGTGAGTCATACGCCTTAACTGATCCTCCCCAATTTTCATAGTCATGTTGATAATGTTTTATGGCTGATGAATCCTAGCTAAGCCACTTGTTTCTCGAGCCTTCTCCTCCGTTGTATCGCTTTCAACAACGCCTGCGTTACTGCTGATCTTCAATGTCTTTCGTCGGAACATGGAGTACATTGTTTCTCATGAAGGTGCCTAACATAAGATTTGTACCTAGGTAGCCCCAAGATCGCAGTCGACTTTTCAGGTTTGAGGCCTCAGCACAACAATGTTCGATGCGAGACCTGACTGCCCAACACTCGCGCCAAGTCGGCTTTGGGTGGGCACTCCAGAGATGTACCTGATCTTGTGCTCCCTTTCAAGTCACATGTGGTTCCTCATACCTTTCTCGCACCATGCACCTGATAATGGGGCTCGAGGTAAACCTGGTGTTCGTTGCCTCCATCGCTTACTGAAGCAATGCAAGGAGTCCCCTAAAGGCCTCAATAAACACCTCCGACTTATACAAACGCCTGCACCCCCGTAATGGCCCGCCCCAGGATCAAACCTAGCAAAGTCACCGTCAGCACACATTGCAAGGCATAGGCCGAGCATCTGCCGATCACTTACTGTGTATATCGCTCTGGCCCTCGTAAGTCTGCGTTACGAACAAATTCGCCACGTGTCGGCCGATAGCATACTCGTCGCTAACGGCGTTGCCTCCGAAGATCTCTTGAAGCACGCGAGCGTTCTGGAGGGCCCGGTCGCAGTTCTGGCGCTTCACCATGCTAATCATGTCAGGCGTGGCTTTGCCCTCATCCTTCAGTCTGCCGACTTGAATGGCGGCCAGCGTGCCATAAGCAGCGTCAGTACTGGCGTCAGCCAGCTTCTTCTGGACGAGTTGATAGCGGGCTAGGGGATTTCCCTTGAACTGTTTCCTCTCGAGCGCATACGTCCTTGCTCTCGCGATGCAGTCTTCCAAAGCGCCCATAACGCCAAGAGCAATGCCGTACCGGGCACTGTTGAGGCATGAGAATGGCCCTCGAAGACCTTCAACTTCTGGAAACATATTCTCGTGAGGAACCGGACATTCTTCAAGTTGAATCATGCCTGTGATCGAAGCTCGGAGCCCGTTCTTGTCCTTAATAGGTGGCGTTTCCAGAGTGCCGGCTGGGCACTTAGATCTTTCAACCAGAAACCCTCGGATTTTCCCTGTCTCCTGCAGCTTGGCCCATACCAAGAGTACGTCGGCAACGGGAGAGTTGGTAATCCACGTCTTGGCGCCCGATAAATAATAATATCCCTTCTTAGATGGATGTGGTCTCGCAACAGTCTCCATGGATCCGGGATCACTGCCGTGGTTGGGCTCCGTCAAGCCGAAAGCGCCCAATGATTTTCCTTTCGCCATTTGAGGCAAGAACTTTTCTTTTTGCTCCTGACTCCCAAATTCGTTGATGCCTCCCATGACTAGTGACGACTGGACAGACATGCCTGACCGGTATCCGCTGTCGACGCGTTCGACTGCGCGTGTGATTAGGCCCCCGGCCACAGTCGACACGCCTGCACAACCATACCCTTCGATTGTGGCACCTAGCAGGCCAAGCTCGCCCATCTCTTCGAGGATCTTTGTGTCATAGTTCTCGTCGCGATATGCCTCTGTGTGATGTTGTTAGTGTATGCGTTGCACAGCACCTCAGAACTGTACGTACGAAGCACACGAGGTAGCAACTGCTCCTGGCAATATCGCTCCGCAGTTTCTGAAATTGCCAGTTCCTCCTCAGTCAACAGCGTTTTAGATGCGAGGGGATCTTGCCAATCGAAGACCGGCGCGGTGGAAGAGGAGGCAAACCTATTGCCAATTGTGACTGTAACTGCGGTTGGGGCCTTGGCCAGGGACGGCCTCACGAGCCTCGGTAGCATGGATCGCATCATGATGGGCTTCTTCAATTGCTGTGGAGTATCGGTTCAATTTCTTGCTGGAGACGTGTTCGGGATGTTGATTGTCGAGCTCGCCGTCAGGTCAATGCTTGGGGGAATGTCCGAATCATTGCCCCGCCGTTAGCCGCAAGACAGCATCCGAGGCACCGAGGCACGGTGATGACATAGTAGTCCGTTATCGGACCTTATCGGACCTCGAATCTTGGTAAGGTACCACCTTACGAGACTTCATTAACATCATACCTGCCTCACATCGTGTAAACGTTCGCAGGACTTTGGATCTGTGAAGGGTCTCTTTCCGTGACCGGCTGGCCTAGACCGACTTCTTGTAATTTCAAACAAACTCTCTGTAGAAGCCCTACCCTCGACTAACAGTAACTTGCTCCACGACAGTACTTGTTCTTTGATTTGACGACAAGCCCTGCCCAATCATGATCCGGACATCTACTACCCATGGTGCCTTCCGGAATTACCTAGTTAATTCCCATTAGAGTTGGAATCACCTGCTCTCAAAACGATGCTGCGCATATGTTTCGGTTCTTCGTCTCTGACAAAGCACGATTCCTTGCGCTTCCAATGGCATCTTTCTTACCTATGATTAGGAGGTCGTCAGTCATGAGAAACAACCACTTCGATATTCTGATTATCCCTCGTCCTACCTACTAGTCGCAACAATTATTGGTCAAGAAACAGAGTCTTCCACCTCCGTTCATCTCACGCTGAATACCCAGTATTTGTGATCTTGCAAAAGGATGAACTCCTGCGTTTTTCTGGCGCTGCACGACCTCCCTGAAGCACGCAGAACGGGCAATTGTGGACATCCTGCCGAAGAGCATAACATCGACACGCAAAAAAAAAAGAAAGACGTTGCGCTTTGTCCATTCGGCAACGATACAGAAGGGATTGATTGGGCTTTACATTGCTACATGCGGAAGGTTGTCGAAAATGTCAATCACATTAGACACGATCATAAGGATCGTTGTCCACCTCCCGAACAATACGGTGACGTGCCAAGGCAGTACGCCAGACTCAGCAGCGCCTCGTTTCGTCAAAAGGCTGTGAATAGACCTTACGTGGTGCGATGGGATATGTTGTTGGAATCAGCGAAACATGTCCATCCTAGCCGCAGAGTTGGGTATGTGTCAACGACTCGCGCACCGCAACAGATGCAAAACAGCAGAAGAAGGTCAACAGGAGAAGACCCGAAATGCACAAGAGCATCTAACAGGAATCTTCCAGTAGGTGCAGACCGTCGCCGCATCAGTCGGACGTCTACGACACAGCATGCCGACACAGAAAGAAGACACTCACGATGGTCAAGTCTCAGTAACCAGAAGGTTGGGCTCTTTTACAGTCATTCTTTATATCTCTCGATTTTTTAATTGATTCGTGTTTCAGGACTTTGTTAATCAAGATCGAACAGGGTGGGAAAGGCAACCTGAGCCCCAAATTGTCCCCTTAACAACAGTGTCGGGGGTTACACGGCAATCAGGTTTCCGGCAGACGCTTGCTCAACATATTCGCCAGGTCGGAAACCTCCTTCGCCACGATCGACTTTTGAGTACCGAGAGCATTAAAGATTCTGAGCGTCCTGTATCTCCAGGCTGTGGTCGAAGACGCATGGCTCGAGAACCCCAGGATGAACACTCGTCGGACGAAACTAGCCCATTCCACACGCCAGCAGTCCAGGTATCAAAGTCTGAGAACTGTCCAAACCAGCCTCAGCACACCCAAGAATATCAGACAACCACCCAAGGTATGCAAGCCGTAGAAAGTCTTACCATGGCCGGTCTCCTGTCAGCGACGAGAAACCTGGATCGACTATCCGAAGCATCACGAACTCCCCCTCAAAGTTCTGAGGACCTGGATTTACCAAACAAGGTAACATCAACAATGACTCTGGATACTTCGGCCACTTCATTTCAAGAGAGTCGAGTCAGCAGAGGCAGTTCTCCGTTGCCCGTCCTGGCTTCTTCGAGTGGAGACCTTGCGCAAGACAACGAGGGGCATACGCGTGTGGCACAGTCTCTTAAAAGTACCTGTGACGAAGCATTTCAAGGATCGCTCTGGACTAGAGATCATTTTGGGAGTGCTAAATTAGAACGGCCCAAGCGCTAGTGGCAATTCGGTCACTTCTATGTCCACGGACTAGATGACAGATTGTCACGCCATGAAGGGGACAGAGAAGCTATTGGGCAAGGTTTCGAAACGCATCAAGCCGATACTGCCAGCAGAAATTATTCCCTTCGCAACGAAATTCCACTGACAGGCGGAGAGTCTCAGACAGGAGTGGATTACAAAGGCTGCGATAAGTTGCGACCCAATTCCTTGACACCTGTTAGTTTCGAACGCGATTTCACGGGCATATTTGACGACTTGCATGGCCGAGCCAGGCGTAATCAACGTCGGCCGTCCGAGCCTCGTATTATCAGAGGCCCTGAAACCAAACCTGGAAGACAGTCCCGGAACGTCGACTGGTCTTTGTTGCAAATCATACATGTCAAGGGAGGCTGGGTGGTCATTGAGCCATTCAGCGCGACAATGGAGCCACAGATCTTTACGGAAACGACAACTAAACACGAAGGGTCTTCGCCGGACCTTACATCTTTGGGGGTTCTCCCTGGTGCCTACCAGGCTGTTGATCCACTGGTTACTTACATTCCGCAACCTTCGGACTCAAAGGCTCTCAAAAAAGAGCGAAGTGAGATTCTCGCCCACGTAAAGAGGCACAGGGGCTCACAGAACAACCTTGCCAAACTTCTGGGGACAAAGGACGAAGCTTCGAGCGTGATATCTTGTGCCAGCAATTGCGAAGATTGGACAGTCACCGCCAACGGTTCCTCCGATGTAGATGCAGCTCACAACGACTTTGTTGCCGATTACGTGGCGCAACTCGCGGAACGAAGCGTTTGTTTGCCTGCAGCCGATCATCCTCTCGATGGCGAAGTAATAGAGAGGCGCAACACATCCGGAACAGTTCTGATCAAAAAAGTAGGACACAGACAGACGAGACCCAAGGATGGGTCTGATGATGCTGGTGGTTCCCCATAGTCTACTCAGTCGGCGATCCCTGCTGACCACCTGGGCCCAATTTGATCCAAGCCTTGCGAGGTGTGAGGGTAATACATCACTGATAAACCATACACATACCTTTGATCCGCTCCTACGACAGACACCGATCGGTATTCATATGGTATCTTTGCTAGAGGTATTTTTAAGAGGAGAAAGCAAGTAAATTTACTGCAACCGATAAACCAAGTTGTCGGTACCTGACCTTGACCAATATCTCATTACAACAAAGTGACTTGTCTACTGCAAAAGTGTGTCTATTCTAATCAACCGTCTTGATGTTTACCATTTCATAATCTCCTGTTCCGTCTCTTCCCCTACCTCGTCCCCTTCCCCTCGAGAACCCTTGCTCCTCATCGCCCTCTACTGCCCCCCCCCCCGTTTAACTGCAAATCATCGCCTGACCCAGATCTGCCACCAGTTCCATTACCACCGCCACCACCACTGCCGCCAAAGTATATGGGGCGCAGCTCACGATATCTTGAGCCCCAGACGCCGAGCGCGGCGCATAGTCCTGTCGATGCCATCATGCAGGCCCACCACATGGCGTTGCGGGGCACGCGACCTGTGTACAGCGTTGTAATGACGAGATGAAGGGCGTGGATGGTAACAGCAAAGTCGGGCACGAGCTTCGAGCGGGAAACGAGAAGGATAATAGCTATCGCCCTGTGTGCGCGCGCGCGCAGTGTCAGCCATTGGGGTATCTCCAGAGGTAGACTCCGAGGGAAACTGAAGGAATGGGGGGAGAGAAGAAGCCGGAGGGTACTAGTAGAGGCAAGTGTCAAGAGAACGTACATGCAAAACCCGCCATCAAGGACCAAGACGAATCCACAGAGCCAGCCTTGTGTCGTGTCTCCCCTGACGGCATCCCAGCCGAAGACGACATCGAGAGTAAACGAGATGCCTGCGACGAGAGCCGTGAAGAGCATGAGAATGATGGCGCCGACGTAGTAAAGGGCCTGCAGGGTCGCAATCTGAGTGGCGATCCTCAAGGGCGGCAGCTCGGCCATGGCGCCAGCGCGCGGCGGCCTCCTCCTGCGCGGCATGGCGCTTTGCTGAGGAGGGATGTGTTGCGACAGGCAGTCAGGGGGTCTTGGGGGGAGGCGAGTTGGCTGAAGCCTTTGGTCGTCGAGGCTGCCGCTTGAGTCGTTACGGCAGGAGCATGGGCGAGAGGAATTCCAGCAGGGTGTGTGCTCCGAGAACAAGCTTGCCGTATGCGTTTCTTGGAATCGAGCTGTATGTGATGTTGGTCGAGGATTGACGGTGCTGGGCGCAGGGTCATTGGCACAAAGTCTAGCGCTGCGGACCTTCGCTCAAGAACGGCAAATGGACAGCTGGAACGTTGGCGTTCAAGGGCGCCACCCCAGATTCTCGGGAACGCTAGGCCCCATGAGCTCACCGCCCGAGTCCTGCCCCCCGAACCTTCCAAAATTTGGTCGAGCTTTGGACATACAGATGTCCCCACCATGGTCTTCCAAGTCCAGAGGCGAACACCACTCCCGGAACATTGACCGACTCTCACGCCACACTCACGACGACTGCTCTTGTCTGTGTCATTCACATTTATAAGCTGACAAACTGCCGACAAAAAACATCAATAATTCCCCCATTTGATTACCGTCCACCATGGCTCTCTTCTCCTGGTCCACGAGTGCCGACGACAAGCGCGCCGAGGAGGTCCGCACCGGCGCCGTAGCCCCCGACCGCAGCGAGCGCAAGAAGTGCTGGGAGGCCCGCGACAGTTACTTTGCCTGCCTTGACCGCTCCAACATTATCGACGCCGTCAAGGAAGACAAGGCCGCGCGCAAGGCCTGCCCGGCCGAAAACGAGCTGTTTGAGCGCGACTGCGCCACCGCGTGGGTACGTGGAGCTGCCTGGTGTTAGGCCCGCCTGCCGGCACCCTCGTGTACGCTCCTGCTTTGTGTGGAAGTGTATGCTGACCCGAGGATTCAGGTGAAATACTTTAAGCAGTGGCGGGTGGCAGACATCCAGAAGAAGGCAAGGATAGCCCAGCTCGAAGCTGAGGGCGCCGTCAAGATGGATGTCACCACATCCTTTACCGAAAACACCTCCGCTGGCACTACCGGCGTGCCAAAGGGGACAAGCAGGGAGGATATACAGGACATGCTGTCTTCTCGAAAGAAGTAAGAAGAAAAGAACACAATGACCTCCGTGTCATAGATCGATTCGATGTATGGATCGCTGGACGCAACAAACCCTCTCCCCTTTGGGCGGGCTCGAGACACATCTCCACTACACGTTCGGCTGTACAATGTATTTTAATGTTACCTATGTGACTTGTAAGTTAAGGGCAGACACGTGGCGCCGTCTTCGATGGAACGACTCAAAGTAGAAGTGATGAGGGACACCGTATCAACAATGGACATCACCAGGGCTGGGCTTCCTCAACAGGAATGAAGACGAATGAGTCAAGTCATCTATTTAGAAATATGGAAAATCCCACCTGCTATCCCGACTCCTTGACTAACCTGCCAATTTGGCCTATGCTGTGCGCTTTGTAGCTCACTAATCGCTCCTGCTCTGCCACCCCTGAAACCATGTCGTGCTCAGTTCGCCATGGGCATTACAGTTGTTACATTAGAAAAAACAAGGAAAGGTTGGTGCAGCGGTGGTATCATCCATGCGCAGTACGGAGACAAAAGTGACAATAAAAAAATGGTAGATGAAGAACTTTCGCTTGGCCGCCCCCAGCATGGACGCCAAGTTGGCGCATGTCGATGACAGCCACAGCTGACTTGCCTGCAATGATGGGGAATGCAACAGAAGCCTCAAGCTGTCGGCACCAGTGGGATGCCTTTCACTGCCCTAGCTCGCACAGAATACTTGTCATGCTTCGCTCGCTATGCAAGGCCAAGTCGAGCTCTGGTTTCGGGCACAGTCTCGCCAGGCAGAGGTGGCAGATCCTTGTTCAAAGAGTCTTTGCTTAGCCTTGGTTGGAGCCCGAACGACTCATCTGGGCTGAAGGACTTGGAGTCGTTGCTTCTCGACTGCGTCATGGCACCGTATCCGCTGTCCTGACTCTCAGGCTTCAGGCCAGTCTTTGGTGGCGTGGGAGGAGCGTAATTCCTGAACCCCGGCAACTTGTTCAAGAAATCAGGCTTTGCCGGCGTTGCAGGCCTATGTTCGTCGTCCCCATCGCGGCTGCGTCCTCCAATTGAGTGTGATTCGGCAGCTTCCTCGACAACAGGCAGGACTGGCTGCGTCTGTCCGGATTCCCGTCTGTCGGGTGCTGGTGTCGTCGTCATGACCTTGTCTGGAACAGACTCTTCCGACGCACCACGCTCCGCTGACCTCTGTGCCACGAGCTCAGCCTTTTCGATAACCTCCTGCGCCTCGGGAGACATTTGTCCACTTGGCAGAGGGGCTGGCGGCGGTTGATGGGAGGGCATGGGAGGCGCTGACGCCGAGTTGGATCGTCGCCGGGAGTTTGAGCTTCTCCAGCTGGAGACACGTTGATTCTGGTTATCGCTCACAACAGCAGCCGCTGCCTCTTCTTCTTGCTTTTGTTGCTTCTCGCGGGCAGCTTGCTCTGGTGACATAGTGATGCCCTCCACAAAATGGTAGAAACGATCTCCGTATTGACTGGGAGGGGTGGCAGAGATTTGATTTCTATCATTTGTTAACCCCTTCCAGAAGTGTTCAATCTTTTTGATCATTCCGTACTACATGCGTTAGCAAAAGTCAATATGCCACGAGAGTGCTGGTTAAGCTTACGTGAGTCAGGCAGTCGATCACTCCCAGGTAGTAGATTTCGTCAGCTGGAGAGTTGTCTTCGTGTGTGGCTCGAAGGCCGCCGTCGTCTTGGTTGAAAATGAAGCCCGCTCTGTTGTGCGCTTCGTCTAGCTCGTCCGGCATCTTGTTGGATGCGCCCATGGGCACGGGCCGTTCTTGACGGATCATCTGCCTCAGTTCCTTGGCCTTTCGTGCGTTCTCCAACTTTGATGGCGTTCTCAGAAGCACCGACTGAGGCTCAGCATCGTCCTGTGTGGCGTCGCCACCGGGGTTGAACACCTGTAGAGTCTTGCCCCTCAAGTTCTCCTCGTTCCCCCTGGATACGTCGTGGATACCAATAAGGAGTGAGTAGTCCATTATCTTCAGCTTCTTCATGAGTGCGACGTCTCGGTTGAGCTGTTCCAGGAAAAGTCGCTTCTTCTGGATACCTAGCTCAAGAGAGCGTTGCCGCCTCAACCAGTTGAGATCCTTCATTGTGGCCCTTGGGTTCTTGTCCAGGTCCTCCTCGCGATAATCACGACCAATAGTCGAGCCTTTGAGATCGAAGGTGGAGTGAATATCCCGGTGCGGCGGGAAAAGATTGTTCATGACAACAAAATGAATCTTCTTGCCATAGGGCATCTTGACACGGTGAAGACCATAAAATTGAGACAGCAAGGTGTTGGGGTTGTCGCTGACATGCTGGTAATAATCTTTGAGAATTTTGCGAAGAAACTTGTGTTCGGCATGATGGATGGTCTTAATGATGTACTTGTAGTCCCTAGAGAAGTAGAAAAAGCTTCCGCTCTTGCCCGGAGAACCGAGCTCAGAGAGTATGTACTTTCCTGTGAGAGACATGAGGTAGTCTGCAGGGTCAAGTCGGAAAAGTGAGCGCAGCCGACGGAAGACCCATGGTGCGTAGTCCTTAAACTTGAAGTCGTACTTGGCCGACGGGACAAGTTCATTGCCAGCACTGAATAGGTTAGCCTCTCGTATCGTAGCAAAGGGCGTTTGAGGACCTACATGTCAAAGGTGGACTTTTGTTTGGCAACGAAGTCGGCATCTGTGGGTGGTCTGTCAAGCTTGGCGTTCGTACGCGACACGGAGACACGGATGCCTGTAAGCATGTTGTATGCCGTAACCCAGTTGGCATGATGCTCGTCGACTTTGGTACCAACAAGCACACGATCGTCGTCTTCCTCTTCCTTCTTCTTTCTCTTGCTTGCCCTTTTCTGGCGGTAGGCTTCTGCCCAGCGAAGGGCATCCTCGTCGGGCACTACGTCATCGCGTGGCGCATCGGACTGCAGTGACCTTGTGTTCCTGCGTCCTAGACTGAGTGATGCCCTACGAACTCCTGCCGTCGCCGCCGTCGGGGAGAACCGACCGCTTGCAAAAGCCGTGTCGTGTCCGTCTTTGGAGCTCCTGCCTGGTTGCACCTTAGGCACTTCAAGGGTGTGTCTTTGCTTCAGACCAGTGTTGGGGGGGACCTGCAAAGACGAAGAGGCATCGGCGCCATTTGCTTCGTAGATGGGAGGAGACGAGAAGCGGTGCGGTGAATGGGCGTTGCGAGACTCCAGGATCGCCGAGGCAGAAGTCGTGTTGCGGGCCGGGGTGGTCGGTGCAGTGCTTTGGTCGTGGTGAGAAAATGTCGTCTCGGAGGGGGCTTGTGTCAAACTAGCACCGGACAAAGGTTGTACGTTGCCATTTTTGGTTGGAGGGGGAGGCGCTGTTCTGTCGGGCATCTTGACGACGCTGCCATTTTGAATGGGGAACGGAGCGCCATTTCCCCTCTGCTGCGTATCGTGGTTTGTGTAATGATCGCCATTGTCCTCATATCCTCCACCGTTGGCCGATCTGCCGTGAGGCAACGAGCTCATACTGGTAGGTCTGGTGCCATTCACCTGTGCGGGGCAAGAGTCGGAGGAATCGGAAGCGGGAACGGATGAAAAGGAGCTTTCGTCAAAACTGTCATCCGGCTGTAGAGGAGAGTTTTGTTTGCCGAGGACTAGAGGATGGGTGTGGCCATTCGTGTCGTGGCCGCCGTGTTTGCTCTTGGCCCCCAGGCTAAGCGTGTTGCTCGGATCAAGGTCTAGGAAGTCGGTATCGGACGAATAGACTGGTGCTTTCTCGTGCGTCAAGAATGTGGGCATGGTCGTACAGATTTTTATACACCTTTAGCAAGACGATATCGTGACTAAGATGTTCGCAAAGTTGGTGCCGTGGGCCGAAAGGGTCGTCGGCTGTCTGGTGCTGGGTACCTATCTGATGGCAGTCCCGACACGACAGCACGGCGGCCTGGAAGAAAGGGGGTGGAAAAGCGGCGAGAGGGGAAGATCCGCGAAGAACAAGTAGTGATGTATAATGGCTTCTCGTCGTCAAGTCGCGAGCTCGTCGTGCCGTTCCTCAATGGGTGTTTGCTCACAGGCAAATGCGTGGGCCGGTTTGAGCAGTAGGAAATGGTCGGAACCGCCTGCAACGGAGAGCGAGTTGTTGTCGGTCACGGCGGCCAGGAATCATACAAAGGAAAATGCCCAGTGGTGATCTGACCCAGAGGTGCAGGTCTACAATGTACATACAGTACAGCAACAAGTTAGGGCAGAGGATGGGGTATGATATGGCGAACAGATTGAAATGCGTTTGCTTTGCTTCGGTCTGGGTCAGTAGGTAGGATTGACATTGGAGGGAAAGAGAACAGTCGTGGTCGTTGGGCAGTGGCTGCACTGGTGGCCGCCCGTCTTGCGCTTCTCAACTGGGCCAGGCAAGGACAGATGAGTGGGTCCGTCCAATCAACGTGCGGCCCTGAGCCAGTGGAGGGGCCAAAAAGCTGGGCGAACGGGAAAACAGTGGACAGTGGGCAAGAGCGAGAGCGATGGTACGGCGGAAAGGCCTCGGATTCCCCACCGTAAATTCAAATTACGGCGCGTCGATGGCGCACCCAACTGAGCATCGCCGTATCTTCTAATGCCGGCTCCCTGGTCCACTCATTGAATGCCAGGCACTGCACCTCCTTCATTGTACAGCGTGCCTCGGGTACCTCATTTCAAGGCTGAAGGCGCACCCGGAGTTGTGACTGACCTAGGTAAGCTGTACAGGCCGAATCTGGGCTGCGAGGTGCACGGAAGCTTTCCTGGTCAAGATGAGCCAATAGGGGCCTACAGCGCTCTCGTGCAATGGCGACGACGCCCCTCACATAGCCTCTTTCGTCTTCCCAGACCGCTGGGTTTCTGCGACAATCGTTGTCATCCATGTCTCCCAACCTGAAAGGTCTCGCCAATGGCATGTTGCCTTGGGATCCATTACGCTGTCCGTCCCGAGGTCTGCGCCTTGTTGTCGTTTCCCCTCCCGCCTCCCTGCTCTCTCCTCTTCTCTCACGACATTGGATAATTGCTGCTACCGTTGTTCGCGAGAGGGTCTTGAACACCGACAAACCCCATGTGAGGAGTCGTCACCAATCCTGACGAGATTGGAATGGACCCAGACGGCTTCGCCCGAAGGCCAATCGACATTTGCGCCAAGAGGGCAACTCTGACAAAGCCGGGGGCTAACAGGACTCCGGCCCCCGTCAGGAGAACCTGGCACGTCTGGAAGCCCCGGGAAGTACCTAGATAGGCATGAAGGTGGGTGAGGCCATGAATAGAGCCCCATTATTCACGAGGAGCCCCAGGGTATGGCTAATGCCTGTTCCCGCTTGACCTACAGAGCTTCTTGTCTGTGCCCGCCTGTAGCTGTTCCCTACGACTAAACTGTAAGCAACACAAATCTCGAATCGCCTGTCGGGAGGCAGCCGGCTCTCCCTATCAAAGACTCTCACCGACCGCAAAACACGTCCCTCCTGTGGAACCGTAACCAATTGCGTCATGTACATTTCGGCCCATTTAGAGCTGACCGGTGTACGTGCTGGGGCAAGACAAGATCTTCGAGATCTTCATGCCATGTTCGATTCACCCACCACGTCGTGGCTAGCTCGCAGACAGCTCTTGTTGATCTGCTGTTTGGTTGCGGTGTGCTGCAGCTGAGAGACGCATAGTGAATATTCCAATTTACAGCCATGGGGTTGTCGAATAGCACAGGCTTTGCCTGCTGCCCATGTTGCTAAGTTTACATAGTCTAAGGGTACAAACAAGTTCAACATGTTCTCATGCATCTTTCCACGCATCATTCCCAAGGGCGGCAATGCAGCCGTGATGCAGGAATTGTAGCTTTAAGCTCCTGCGACGACGGCGAGCCCATCGTAAATCATCCGCTTCACCTCGTAGAATGTGCTCCTTTGCTGCATCATAGCGGACGGGTCTGCCACACCAACGCTCTCCACTTCTATCCTGCCCATATTCGTCTTGCGCACTGCCACAGCCCCATTGATGACAAGCGTGCCCTCGCCCCGGAACTCGGCCGTGTAGCCGGTCGATTGCATTGCCCGCCGCAAGTCCGTAAGCCGCAGGTCGCCGACATGGAGTGGCTGTGCGACCGACCGCACCGCCGACACCATACTCAAAGGTAGTGTATCGAGAACAGGTACTACCTCGACTTCTTTGTTGTCGGAATCCTCACTTCCTTCTCCACCTTTGCAAGCCGCACCGTCATCGTTGCTCGCCGTCTTGAGCCTCTTGTTGGAACCCGTGGACTCAGAGATGGCATGACCCTCGCCAAGCAGCTGACCTGTGATCGTGACAATGCCTAGGCCTCGCAGATTCTGCCACTTGAGCTTCTTAACAAGACTATCGCCGAGCTTCACAACCCATGCATTGGTATCAACGCTGGCGTCCACAGTCGTGCCAACTTCTGGTGTAAAAACATCAACCGCGCTCTCATCGGACGCACCGATCCGCGCGGCAAGCAACTTCTTGCAGTCTGCGGCCAGAGTCGTCGTTTCCTCTTGACTGCCACCCACTAGAATCAACTTCCTCGGTTGGATGAGAGGGATGAGGTTGTTCAAACTGCGTTTGTCGTGAAGCCCGCTGAAGTCAATAAAGCCGATTCGTAAATTGACTGTGACCGTCTCAGAGGAAGTGATGAGTTTGGACGGCCCAAGAATCTCTTCCTCCACCACGTCCTCAACATCGTCGAGCTCGTCAGCTAAGTGTCCGTCTGCAGCTGTGAGCATGTCGACATCGTCTAAAGATCCTTCTCTTCTTGCGTTGGACCGCTTATTCGCATCGGTCCCATTGCCCTCATCCCATTTCCGCTTCGACCCTAGGCGTCCGTCGACATCGTCGCGTCGAGTGTCCTGCGCGTCTTGCGCATCCTCTTCCTTCTCTTCGGCCCTGAGATAATCTTCTGGGCGAATAGCTTCGCCGAATTGATCGTCACGCTTGCGCCGAATGGTGAGCGGAAAGCACCTTTCACGGCCTCGCTTGGCTCGCACATCGTAATCACTTGCTCCGAGTTTCTTTGTGAGAACATTGATACCCAGGTCCTCATCGCTCAAAACAACTTTCTTCCTCGTTGCCTGTCCCATCGTGGTAGAGATGTTCAGAGCCTTACCTTGTTGCTCATTGTCTGATTCACCTGAGTCGGATGACGATTCGGAGGACCCATCATCCCCGACATCGGCTGGAGCTTCCAGAGACCCAGCAACCCCCGCGTTGAGTGTCGACTGCAACTGGCGCTGTGTCGCAAGCCACTGTTGGTATGTGCTGAGCTCGTCGCCTTCAAGTCCTTGTCGCCTGGCGTCCGTAACAGTGAGTGCGCGGCCACCGCCATAAACAAGTTCGATGCTGTCATTGCTGTCCGACTGGTCGATCGAGACGCCGTCTCTGCGTTCCTGCCACCAGTCCCACAAGGTCCTTGCGATAGATGGCTGTCCACTCTGAGCAAGAGAAGGCTTGTCAGTCAGAATCAGTAGATTCCTCGAGTCCTTTGCAAGCTCTCGGAGGAGCTCATGAGAGAAGCCCCACTCCAAGCTGTTGTCGCTCGCGACAATGACTCGACCATCCGACCGTACATTCTCCGAGGTTTGACTCAGGAGTTTTCGTATTTGTGCCTCTCGTTCCACAAGCCTCATGAATCGGAAGTCGAAGGGCGCGGCATCTTTTGCATGCTTGCCGTCATTGCCGTTGGCCTTCCGCTGGCCATCCGCCGTGGCCTCAAACTCGCGGACGATATTGTCGTCCATCCATTCGAGCATGCTTCGCGCATATCGCAAGGTGCTAGACACGTTACGACCAGCCAGATACAGCTTGGCCGCTCTCAAAGCGCTGTCGGTCTTACCTGCCTCGAGCCTCCACGCATGTTCGAGAAGGTAAGCTAATTCCAGCACACGTCCGCTCGAGTCTGCAGGGATGAGGACCGTTCCTCCTCGGCTCACACACAGCTTGATCATGTCAATGAGTTGTTCGTCGCGTTTGCGGCGACCACCAGATGGCGCATTCCTGTCGGCGCCGCGACTGCTGCAGATAAGAGCTGTCGGTTTGCGTAGCTGCTCAATGACTTCTGCCCCGCCAGCTCCCGCTCCTCCGAGCCATGCGGCGCCAGCGAACACGTTTTCTCGAGCCTGATTCCAGTCTACAGCATAGACGATCGACTCGAGCCCATGCTGAATATGCCATATCGTCCCACCGAGGGTATGGCCGGCATTAAAAGCCGTGATTGTGAGACCATTAAGCGGCGGTGAGAATGGTGATGGTAGAGGTTCGTGCGGTTGTGAATATTTCAGCGGTTGGATGAGAGAAAAGTATCGGGTGATCTCTTCGGGTGTCGGGGCCTGGAGCAGGAAATTGCTACCTGTTGTAGGTTGCTGCGAGTAAGAGTATGCGACTTCGCTGAGGGAATCGTGCGGAATGGTCGTTGCGGCCCGTGGCGTAGATGAGTATAGATCCTGAGTAAGTGTTCGTCCGAGGTCGATGACTGGCCTCGTGGCGTAAACGGGTATCCTGGTGAACTGTGGGAAGTTCTTGCAGCAGTGGGCAAAGGCTGCCAAATGCGACGTCGTTGCGTGTGTAAGAAGGATCAGTGATAGAGTCGGCACCTGTCTGGCAAGGAGTCAATGATAAGGAACGGACGGGAAGGAGGCTAGCGCAACTCACTTTTCGAGCGCTTTGAGCTTCTCGACATCAAAAGATTCATCCCATCCAAGATCTATCAGCACCTTCACTCCTCCATCAAGCTCGAGGATAGATTGCGAAGCGGCTGATTCGGAACACGCGCCTTGCAGCGGGCAGAACGTAAACATTGTTGATTGTGGGTAGCGACGATGCGCGATGCATCCCAAGTGTTATGGCGATCAAATAGGGATATGATTGAATAGCGCTGACCCGAGTCGCATGGCGATCCTCTTGGGCTTTCCCGGATGACTTGGTTTTGCGGAAAGGCAATTCGGCACCAACGGCTGCTGAGGTTGATGGTGGACCAGGGTTTCGCGGTTGCATCAAAGGAATCGCAATGGAGATTGTGAAAGCACCCAGCTCGTCCTGTAAGCTTCAAGTTGAGCGCACGGATCATGCTTCCGAACAGTACCTGGCAGTCATCCGTCAGACTAGTCCGATACTAGACTAGCGTCGATCAAGCTGCTGATCGGAGCGGATGAACTTATCGGAAAGTTATCGTGTCACTTCCAGATCCTCGGAGCTTCGAACCCAAGAAGTCACGGAGGCCACGAACTCACATTCGAAGACGCTGCTGTTTGGAGCGTGATTTTGAACTGCGACTGGCATGGCGCACCTGTAGCGCACATTCTTCTCCACCGCCTCTAGATCACATTCGAAGACAGGCCGCCTCAACGTTGCCGCGCACGTAACTCTTACTGTCTCGCACCAGCGTTAGAGATAGCACCCAGGTACCTTCGCATTCACACACACGCCACTTACGCCAAGGCACCGCGACCATGGATTTCGGGATGTATCATCACCTGGGACAGACGGAGCCTACAGACCCCTCGCATCCCGAATTGTCGAATCAGCCAGCGGCGCCCCAATTTCGACCTCCCGTTGCGCCCCAGCCGTATCACCAAGGGGCGGGTTATGCCGCGCCCTCCCCGGATCAACAACAATATCATGGCGGGCAGTCAGGTCCTGGTAACCCTTACGGGCAACCGCAAGGTCAAGATGGGTTTCAGAGCCAAGCACCTCCGCAAGACGCTGGTCTTGCCTCTCAGATGGGTGCCATGACATTAGGCACTGGAGATGTACACACGAAGAGGAAAAAGAAGGACCGTCACGCTTACCATCAGGTAGAAGCTACTGGATCTTCGCAAGCATTCAATGGTATGCCAGGCGCAGGGACGCCAGCCTCGCAGTTCCTCAATGCCGATCCGTCACTCTCTGGACCTGGCGGGCAGTTCCTCAATACCCAAGGAAGTCAATTCCCTAGCCAGGTTGGCGCGAATATTGCGCCTGGTCCCCTATCTCCGAATCCATTCAACGCCCCTATCAACAGCATCAGCGATGCAAGTCCGTCTCCCGCTTTTATTCCAGCTTCTGGGCAGCAGGGTGTGACCGCAAATGATATGCCGAGCGTGCCCGTTTCGAGAGACTCTGTTCAACAATACTACCTCGGCAACGTTTATCCCACTTTCGAAAAGCATGTCCCGCCACCAGCTACCACCTCCTTCGTAGCGTTCGATCAGGGCAACTCATCGCCGAAGTACACGCGGCTGACGATGAACAACATTCCCGCAACGGCTGAGGGCCTCGCCAGCACCGGCCTTCCTCTCGGCCTTCTTCTACAACCCCTGGCACCTCTCCAGCCAGGGGAGCTTGAAATTCCTGTCTTGGACTTTGGCGACTCCGGTCCTCCCAGATGTAGGAGATGCCGCGCGTACGTCAATCCATTCATGATGTTCCGGTCAGGAGGCAATAAATTTGTCTGCAACCTGTGCACATATCCCAACGACACTCCGGCAGAGTACTTCTCAGCGACAACGCCCCAAGGCGTGAGAGTGGACCGTGATCAGCGGCCGGAGCTCACACGTGGCACCGTAGAGTTCGTCGTACCAAAAGAGTACTGGACGAAGGAGCCCGTCGGATTGCGGTGGTTATTCCTCATCGACGTCACTCAAGAATCTTACAATCGAGGTTTCGTGGAATCTTTCTGCGAAGGCATCCTCGCCGCATTGTATGGGGGTGATGGCACAGACGAGCCAGATGAAGGAGGCGAGACAAAGCGTAGCATCCCAGTCGGTGCCAAGGTTGGCTTTGTTTCTTATGACAAGGATATTCACTTCTACAATGTCAGCGTAAGTTTTCCTCTGGTGAATTGGGATCAGGGGCTCGCAGTAACTAACCAGCCTCCAGTCAGCACTCGATCAAGCTCAGATGATGATCATGCCTGATCTCGAGGATCCCTTTGTACCTCTGAGCGATGGCCTCTTTGTTGACCCCTACGAGTCGAAAGATGTCATCTCATCTCTGCTGACAAGGCTGCCGGAGTTGTTCTCCAACGTCAAGAACCCGGAGCCTGCTCTGCTCGCAACACTCAATTCAGCTACGGCCGCCCTGGAGAAGACAGGCGGTAAAATCGTGTGCGCCTGTTCTGCACTTCCTACATGGGGACCCGGCAGATTGTTTCTGAGAGACGAAGGCAAGCACCCTGGCGGTGAGACGGACAAGAAGCTTTTCACAACCGAGCACCCTGCCTGGAAGAAGACGGCGGAGAAGATGGTGGCCTCTGGAGTCGGTGTCGACTTCTTCCTTGCTGCGCCATCTGGTGGATACCTCGATATCGGCACCATTGGTTATGTCGCCTCCACTACGGGCGGCGAGACGTTCTATTATCCCAACTTCATCGGAGGCAGGGATAATGCTAAGCTCTCTATGGAGATCAAGCACGCGGTGACACGGGAGACCGGTATGCAAGCGCTGATGAAAGTCCGTTGCTCGAACGGTCTACAAATATCGGGTTATCATGGCAACTTTGTCCAGCACACTTTTGGCGCTGACCTCGAGATTGGTGTCATTGACGCGGACAAAGCCATGGGTGTGACGTTCACATATGATGGCAAGCTGGATTCCAAGCTGGATGCTCACTTCCAGTCCGCTCTACTGTACACGTCAGCCTCTGGTCAACGCAGAGTGCGATGCTCCAACGTGATCGCAAGCGTCAGCGACCACGCAAGGGATTGTGTCAAATTCATCGACCAGGATGCTGTTTATTCGATACTGGCCAAGGAGGCGAGCACAAAGCTGGACACGACGTCGGCAAACCTCAAAGACGTTCGAAACTTCCTCACGGAGCGAACCATTGATGTCCTTGCGAATTACCGCAAGAACTTCCTCACACAGGCGCATCCCCCGAGCGAGCTGGTTATGCCCGAGAGACTCAAGGAGTTTGCGATGTACATGCTGGGCCTCATCAAGTCGCGTGCTTTCAAGGGTGGTAGCGAGAGTACAGACCGCCGTGTCCATGAGCTCCGCATGGTCCGGTCCATGGGCGCCCTAGAGCTGAGCCTGTATCTGTACCCTCGCATGATCCCACTGCACAACCTGCAACCTGAAGAAGGCTTCCCTGACGAGTCCGGCCACCTCAAGCTGCCGCCAACAATACGGACGTCATTCTCGTGCGTCGAGCCTGGAGGTGTCTACCTTGTGGACAACGGCCAACAATGTCTGGTCTGGTTCCACGCCCAGACCTCCCCCAACCTCATCGCAGATCTGTTCGGCGAGCAAAACACGAGCCTACAAAGTCTTGACGCCTACACGTCCTCGCTTCCCATCCTTCAGACGCATCTAAATGCCCAGGCGCGCAACATCATTGAGTTCCTCAAGACGATGCGTGGCTCAAAGGGTATGTCCATCCAGCTTGCGCGTCAAGGGATCGATGGTGCCGAATACGAATTTGCGCGCATGCTGTTGGAAGACCGCAATAACGAGGCTCAAAGCTACGTTGATTGGTTGGTCCATTTGCACAAGGGAGTGCAGCTCGAGGTAAGCAACAGATCAACAGCGCCCACGGCGTTGTCCTTCCTTCACCACGACTGGTAGCACTACTGACCGCTTCCCTATCCAGTTGACGGGACAGAGAAAGCGGGAAGACCAAGCGACAGAAGGCGGCGCCCTGTCCACATTCAGCGGTCTTCGGCCTGCTTACTGGTGACGGTTTCATCAAGACGACAGGGTGGAATCGACATGTGGGTGACAGCATATGGGGTTGGGAGCAATGGGGCAAGGGGCCATATGCATGAAAGCGACGCGGGTGTCTACTTGTTTAATGGAAAAGTATAGTCGACAGTCGGCAGTGATGTTAAAGTTGATTTGGAGAGCAAAAGGTGACGTGAATGCGTACAACCAATTCTCAAAACCAGTCCGTCAGCCGCTGGCCACGTGCGTATGGGCAGTCCCATCCCTTGCTGAAAATTGTAGCCGTCCAGTTTCACCGTCATGGGCAGTCGGACTGGCCGAACTCAACTCGGCGGGCAAAGCCAGTTTCGTACTTCGCAGCCGCTGCTTCCCACCTGGTACGACCACCGACGAGTTACATCGAGTCTATGCCAGCAGCTGCGAATCTTCACATGCACTGAAGTATCTCGTCTCGGTTGGTGGCTGGCTGTTCCCTTTGCCAAGAAACATTTCATTCGGTCTGCCAGTGCTCTGTGGTACCCGAGATCAAGCCCCTGACGACGTGAAGCGTCTCATTGAGTGGCGCTAAGCCCTCGCGCATGGAGTCTTCTGGTAGGTGTCGATTTTTGCCAGCACCTTCAACGCTCACCTCCGAGGGGCCACAGCAAACGCCACCGAGATAGAAAGGAGTATCAGCTCTTCGAAGCGGCAATTTTCAGGGTAGTCACCAAGGGTGGATTGCCATGTGCTCGATAACCCATGTTGCAAGAAAGGAGTGCTGGGGGCGATTGGCTAGGGGCACGGGGTGTTCTGCTTGTCAGTTCTCACACTTTCGAACATTATTATCAGCCCCATCAGCTCTGCTCCTCCTACACTGCACCGATCCGACGCCTGGCCCAGTATTTGGGTTTCTTTTGCGCAGACCGGTGGCTACATGGCGTATAGCGCTTGTTGACCGGTGTCATGGATCTTGTTAGCCCTGCAGAGAGGCAAGAGTGTGAATCAGAGAGGGAACAGGGCGGCCTGTCGATGCGATATGTGATATTTCCGGGGGGCGGGGAGCCCGTCGGGCGGTCTTCATTAGTGTCACGACAGAAACACACGATTCAACCCACGCGCCACCCACACCGTGCTTCTCTTCAATACTCCCTATTCCCTGCCCACATCTGGAGTTCTTGATTTTATGTCTCAGTCCCTGGAAATGTCGGGTGTCTCTGGAGCAAGGAGGGCGATCTTGTCTGACGCCAGCGCGAGTGCCTCTCAAGATTTTTAGTCTAGCGAAATGGACATGTCGCCAGCCGCGGGGATGGCAACAATGGTGGTGCAGGTGACACGACATGGAAATCCACATTTCTTGGCATCTAGCGACTGACTACTTTGGCCACGATCGTAATATGGCTGGCCGTAGCTGGCGTCGGTGGCGCGTATGAGTTTTGCCCTGCTCAAGGCAACAAGGCCTCCCAGAGACCGACCGATTCAGTGCACCCGAAGACATGGTGGTGGTACTTCTCTCGATCCAGCGTTGCACGGAGTCTTGTCAACCTGGACGAGTCATTTCTTCAAGCTGCCTTCGAACACAGGGACCCAAGGGAGGGATGCTGCAGAAGCGCGGGAGCCCCTGCGTCGTCTGAACGATTCTCGCGGAGTTCCGCGGCGACGAAGGCAATAATCCAGTCAAGACAGTGCGGGCTCCTTCCTCCTGATGTCAAGGGCATCCCGTTCTCGACGAACATCAACAAACAGGCGCGTGTGCCTTCCCGAAATTAGGCTGCCCGCGCCCGCCGGCCGCCCGATCGACTTGGTCGCCCAGATGCGGCGGAGCTATCAGCAGTCTTGGAGCCGCCTCCCGGTGCGCCGCCCTGGCGGCGATCTCATGCAATGCGCGAGCAAAATGGCAAAGAAGAGCAGCTGGAGGAGGATCATGCACAGGCAGCAACATCAGTTGTTGGCGCGCGAGTGCCGCATGCACGTATCCTCTACGTTGAGTGGACTGATCGCCGCCGGGGTACCAACACGATCCAGATCCGCTCTGGCTCTCTGCAGCTGGTCAAGACCGCCGGACCATGGAAGATTGGATTCAAAAACGGGAAGTGCAAGCAAGGTCATGGCGATGGTGACGACACACACATTGTCAAACTGTGTGAGACAGCAATGGATGGATTGTACGGGATCAATTGTCTACACCTGAAGCTCACGGGGAAGGATGTAAAAGCTAGCGTAGCAGGTGAGGGGTCGTACAGAAGTGCAATCCTGTCTCAGATTCCCTTGTCAATCTGCACAGGGATTCCACCACTACAGAAACTCAACCGTTGGCTGCTATATCGTCGACGGGTGTGGTTAGCGCAAATGCATCTTAGCTTGCATCAGGTAGTCAGTCAACCTAGGGAGGCTATCTAAACCTCAAGAGCCCGTAGACGCCAGTCACCCACGTCTTCAAGGAACAGGGGCCGGGTCCCGGGTGACACTGGTGCGAGCATGGGCATGTGAAACAGACACATATTGTTGCTGGACCTGCAAGAGTCGAGGCGCCGAAACATCGCTAACAGCATATGTCATGGCATGCGACATGTCTCTTCGCCCACTCTACAAGCCCGCTCATCAAACATAGCCATACATTACAACGGCGTCTGTCGCCCCGGATCAAGCCGCCTTTGACTGAGAAGCCCCTCGCCTCTTCATCGAGGTCTCACCCTCGCTCACATGACTGGCTGTGCATGTCAGCCCATGCAGAGTTCGACCAGTACCGCGTGGCCGGCGCCGTTTTGTCTCATCCAAAACTAGTCATCCCCTACAGCCCCGCCAGCACTTTCATACAATCGCAATTTACCTTGGATCTCTGTCTTTCCTAATGTATGAAATCCCGGAATGGCTTGGGTGCTGATCGAGGAAGCAGACAGTCATGACCACACTACCTACCCTTTAGGAGCAGAAGCATCGGAGTCGAAAGCAGCCGTGACAATGTCTCGGGCCTTCTCACCCTGATGATACTAAACCATCGGCGCCCCATGCAACAAATGCTGATCTGCAAGCAACCTGTCAGAATCGATATCTGACAAGACTGAGTCAGCCAGTCAGGAGGTCTGTGAGCAGAGTCATTCGAGACTTCGGCCTCGTGTCCCTTTATCAACCTCCTAACCGGCCTGCGGCACCGAGCAACTGACCTCCATATTGTCAGTGCAAAGATGCGCTGTGCTGATCGCGCGGGACGGACCGGTAGCCTTCTCGGAAATCAATCAGGCTTGTAACGTAAAATCTTCTTGGATCGAGCGTCCGCCCGGCATTATCACATAAATCCGGATGCTAAATCTGTACGACTTAGGTCCTTTTGGTTGGCGCTACTCATTACCCAACCGCGAGCGCCCCAGCGACCTACTGGATATACAAAGCTGAGTAGCAATCGACCAGCACCAATACTTGACTGCAAAGAAGGAAGACAAATAAGTCATCAAACTGTTCGGATCCATGCTTCTCTTCACCCGAGGGGAGCTTGCCATCAAACCCTGATAGCGCGGCTTCTCCTTGCTCGATCCGCGACCGGAAGCCCAGCTCCTAGCCCATGACGTCTTCCGGGTGGCGTCAAAGTTGACATGTCTCAAATGTCGCCATGTCGCATTCGAACAAGAGGTGGAAATGTGTGCTGTGACTGAAATCTAGCATACTCAGCTCTTGGAGCAAAAAAAAAAAAAAAAAAAAAAAAAAAGAAGAGGGCCAAAGCGACCACAATTGCAACCACGGACGCCGTAACCGACCCTACGAATGCCATCCGGCAACGTCTCTTCTGCCGCCAACCAGGGAGAGCCAATATTATGATACTGCCACTAAGAGAAGCCCATCACTCCTCAGCCCAGAGCAAATCTTGGAATAAAATAAATGCTGCCACGGAAATATGTGCCTAGCCGACACGTGCCATACCAATTACCGCTCGGTGATCGTGCGCGAAACAGACTTCCAGGCCACAGCGCCGTGAGAGAAAGAAAGTAAAAAGAGGAAACCCCGACAACTGCCTCCGTTCCCCCTCGTCAGTGGCTTTGACGATTGAGCGGACCAGATGGCTGCGGCGACTTGGCGCTGTGGGCCTGGGGTATCGTTTGCTCACTAGCGTTGTCGGGAAGAAGGAATACCAAGGCTCGCAGCCTTGGGCAGATGAGACGTGGAAAGCCCACACGCAACCAGAACCATCGCACTTTAGACCAGACCGAGATTGAGAAGGGGTTCTGGCCAGGTGTACGTTGGTTGCGTTTTCTCACTAGCCCATCTCAGCGCGGGCCACGCTGGGGTCAGGAAAAGAAAAAAGCATGTATGGTCGGGGGAGGGGGAGAGGGGAGGGGGTCAAGCCAGCATCCCTGCACGCCAGCGTTGGAGGCTCAAGCACCCCCCATGATGGTCGCAAAGCCATATCGTGGATCAATCTGGTTGCGCACCCTGGCGACTTCCGTGTCGTTGAATACTTCGCTGAAGACACGAAAGTCGCTTTTTTGCCCCGACGAGCCGCTGCTTGAACTACTCCCCGAGGACGACGAGCCGCTTTTGGACCGACTTTTTGAACTGCTGCTGCTGCTGCTTCCGCCTTTGTTCTTCTTAGCGATGTCGTCGAGGATGTGCTTTACTGTGCTTTGCTTTTCGTCCTCAAAAACGAAAACGACAGCAAGGAATTGGCCACGGAGATCCGTATCCCACAACAGCACCTCCCGCCAAAGCTCGGCAAGCTCTCTTGGCGGGTTCCTATAGCCGTTCCCAAGACCAAAATCGCCCACAACGACAGAGCGGAATTGTTGATAGGCGCAAATCCTTAGGGCGGCGCGCATCTTGTTCATGACGAGCTGTCGCTCTTCCGCGAATGAGTACTTCCGACCCCCATCGGTAAGTTTTGGCCACCTCGTAGGAGGCATCGAGACTACAGGCAGCGACTGCCAGTCTTTGACATCTAGTGACTCGATGCGGTCTTGGTCATGGCGGAAACGTACTGTCGTTCGAACTTAGTTTGTGGTGTCGCATGTCTCTCATGCTTGAAAACCTACCGACATGCGGAGAGTAGATGGCACCCTCAATGGGAATGGGATAGTTAGAGTCGACATAAGTGGCCGGATCTGGTGTGCTCAGTGTCGCCGACAGATTGCTCCGGCGACACAACCTCTCCTGTGGTACCGAGGCCGATCAGCATTTACTTGCACTTCTGCGCCAGACCGACGGAGTGACGGAATAACGGTGCCACAACAGTCGGTGCGCCTACCTCGTAACCAACGACTCCCGTCTCCCAATCACCACCGGGACGCTTCTCATTTGCTGAGCAGATGAAGGGAACGGCGGCACCTAGGGACTCGGCCCAGCTGATGGCAATGTTGACCGGGTCGCCAGAATAGACGTCCATATCTGTTGTCAGCACGACATCATCCAGCAGTTTCCAGGGAGGGCTGGGATTGTACGTACGGAACTTGGGGAGATCGGGGTGCATGTGGGGTCCACGGGGTAGGGGGAGGTCGACAAGGGGCTGGGGATACAAGTACGAGTAAGGGGGCCATTTGTTACGGTAATGCTTTGTGACTTCGGGGATGAGCTTCCTCTTCGTGTCGGCAGCCACCTCGGAGGGCTTAATCTTGAGGGGCTTGGACGAGGGCATGGTGGTGGTTGTGGGTGAAAAGGCAATATCGTGAACAAGAAGATGGGGTCGAAAACGACGGAGGGATGATGTGGCCAGACAAACGCGGTACGAAGGGTGAGGAGCAGGGCGGAATGTAGCTACCATACGGCCCCATTCCAGGAGTCCCTCGTGGGGTTATTAAATACTCCCCTCGACTTGACGGCACTCGACCGGGCATAAAGTGAGAAAAGAAACGCCTCCAGCATGCCAGAGGCGAGCGGCCAGAACAGGCGAGAGCGGTGGGGGTGGAGAGCGATTGAGATGTAGCACCAACCACCAATACTCGCCGGATCTCAGACATTTACAGGCGGTGGGGGATTAGACCTCGAGGAGGAACGGGTTCAGAAGCTGTTGGACTTGATGGGAGATCATGTCTGCCATTGTCTCTGTTGTCTGTCTCTTGTCTCTGCCTTCCATAAGGCCTGTGGCCTGGCACTGCCAACAAGACCTGGGCCGTGTGACCATGGCATCCGCGATCTTGGTTGGCGGGACTTGATCTCGATGGACCTGCAAGGTGCCGCCGTTATACGAGATCTCTGTGTGCTCAAAAGGATTGCACACTGGGATCTCTTGGGGGCTGGCCTTGCACAGAAGCTGGAGTCAAAGATGCGGTGAATGGGTGCGCCGAGGGTCCACGGTCAGGACGGTCGCGGGGTGGGAGAGCTGAGAAGGGTTCAGGCGCAGGCTGTCTTGGAACGCCAGATGGACAGATTCTGGGCAGACTTGCCACAGATCCCCCAGAGCCAGGAGGTCGTTGCTTGATCCAGATGGCGAAGCAAAGTAAAGGGGCGGGATCGGTATGATCTGATGGCTTGACTAAGTAGAGGCGACGTCACTCGAGCCGGAAGAGCAACTCGTGGCTGCCATGCTGGCGGCCGTCGCGACGAGACTGCGACAAGGCAACTAGACTAACTTTCTATGGTTAGCAAAGGGACGCGGCCCGAGGCAAGATGTTGCGACGGCGTCGATTCGCGACGGTGACGACCGGTCAAGGTTCACGGTCATATCAAACAAATGAAGACAACGAGGGGGCCAAGTTTCAACTTGTAGAGTGGGCGCGTCCCAAGACGCCCAAGCACATTCACCGGACACGGTCGGAAGTCAAGAGTCGTTGATTGATCGCGCTCGAGATGACGATGTTTGCAACAAACAAAGGCGAATAAGGTGGTGATGGCGATGAAGGAGGTGCACGGGACGGGAGCATGGGAGGATGTCAATAGACGGATGATGGTCGTTCGAGTCCAGGGTGAAGGGGATCGAGCTGTCTTCAGCCTGCCTGCAGCCTGCAGCCTGCGGGCAGGCTATTAACCCCCCCCCTTCCCCTCCCCCCCTTGTCCTGGGCGCCCACCCATGTGGCTACTGATTACACAGTCAAAGTACCGGACACGCTGTACTCTGAACGCAGCACAAGCAAGCAAAGATGACGCTGACGCTCTGCCCTGGTAAGAACATATAGCTTGTTGGGGTCTTACGTACCTACTGTCCTATTTACTTACCAAGATAGGTACCTAGGTAGGTAGGTACTCAGCAGTCAGGTACCAACCCAAGCTCATGAAGTTGGTCCAAGCTCCAGAGTGAAGCTGGTCCATGATAGGCTTAGCTGAGTCCCGCTCGAGCTGGATCTGTGCCGCCGTCTTCGTCGCGTGTTCGTCTTCCACTTCACGACACCAAAGCTTTTTATTTTTTTTGTTACAGCACCCGTATCGCATGGACTACCTGCTACCCGCACCGTCCTGCGTCTTGTTGCAAACTCCGCCCCTCTTCACGTCGCACGATGACGGCCATATATTCTCTGTCATAATTCTGCACGCCGGACAGTACATCATCGCATCTCTGCACGAATGCTCTCGATAAGCTTGGACACCATGACCTTCAAATCAGGGGCCGCTTTATGCTCCCGCTTGAGGCTCACGCCACCAAATCCAAGATTCTTCAGCAGTAGCTGCACAACCAGGAGCTCAGTTCCAACGAACGCATTGCCATCCGCCAGGCCTGCCCGCACTGTTGCGCAGTTCCTCGAATGGAAGCCCGAAGCCGAAGCTACTAATGTCGTAGTCAATGGCTATGTCCGCTCTGCAAGGACTATGAAAGCTGATGTGTTTGTCCACATCGGCGATGGCTCTACTCGGAAGCCTCTCCAAGCACTTGTACCAAAACATATGAATGGCCGGTACTGTCACCCGGATTTGTCTCGTCGCTTCATGCATTGAC